GTGTGCTTCAGGAAAGGGTGACCTGCCCCCAGATGGTTCTCACAGCCGTGGCCAGCAGGGGCTGGGGGTGGCAGCTGCCCGTGTTACTGCAGAGAAGAACAGGAGAGAAAGAGGAAGGAGGCCACGGGAGAGACCTGCGGAGGCCGCAGGAAGGAAGAGTGACGGAGGCTGCTGGCACGCCAAGGATCCAGACCTGGAAGGAAACAGGGTCACACAGACCCTGGAAGGAGCTGGGGTCCCAGGGGAGGGAAAGTGGAGTCTCAGCCCCGGTTGGGCTCCACCCACCCCAGAAACTCAGACTTCCTTTCCAGCCACACCTGTGCAGTGAAGCCAGTTTCCTCCTGCCCGGGACAGCGCCCCCCACCAGAGCCTACGGCCGCGGCTGGGGTTTGTCCGGGCACCCCTGAGGCTCAGGAGTGGTGGACTTTCCGGAAGGAGCTGGCAGAGAAATGACAGAGTCCCACCCGCCTGCTTCTGCAGACCCTCCCGGGGACAAGCAGCCACTCTGGGCTCCAGTCCTGGAGTCAAGGGAACAGGAGAGGCCAGCCCAGGATGCAGTGAGGTGCCTCCTTTTCCCCTGGCTCTGGGGGTTGCTTTCTTTGGAGGTCATGACCAATGGACAGCAGGGACTGGCACCACTCACACCTATCCCATCAGAGGCTTCTGAGCTGGGAAACCAGGGAGCTCCTTTGGTGAAAACAGACGGGATGGGAGAAGGGGAAGGACAGGATGGGAATCAGGAGGGGATGGAGGGAGGGAGGCGGGCAATGCACAGGAGAGAGGCGCCAGCCTGGAAGTTCCCCACCTGCCCTGGCGTGGCATGGCACAGCATGGCGTGGTGGGTCCTCGTGACCAGGGGCTTTCTTTGCCCTCTCTCCAAGGCTCTCGGACACCACAGCTCAGCCAGGTCATCACAGCCTGGGGCAGTCAGCACAGGTTCTGGGACCTGCAGCAGCTCACCCCTCCAGCATAGCACCTGGCCAGTCTGATTCCCAGGATCTTTCCTGCCTTCTCACCACTCCTGGGTTCTGGAGCTTGCCTGGGCCCCGTCGGTGTGAGGCCTGGCTCTCCTGAAGAGCCCTGAGACAGGCCCTGGCCCTGAGCTCAGCCTGGACGCTGCAGGCACGGGTGATGCCAGACGCTTTGCCGTGGTGCTGGCCTTGCACAGGTGCTGCTGGGATTCCCTGGCTGTGTGTGCCATCCTGGCATGCTGCAAGACAGGCATCTCTCAGAGTCTGGGCAGGAAACAGATGGCCCACTCATTGGGGGTGTTTGAAGAGATTTGTTCATGAAAAGAGCATTTTCAGAGGTGTTGGCAGGTTGAGGGAAAAACACCAAGGGGCCTGTGGTAGTGGAAGGTGTGACCACCCCCAGGACCAAAGAAGCAAAGGAAAGAGAGTTGCTGCCAGAGCTGGGGTCAGAGCCCCGGGGAGGGACCACCTGGCAGGAGGGTGTGCTCCTGGAGGGATGTGGTCAGAAGGCCCCTCCTGTCCTGTCTGTCCTTCCTGAATCTGATGTCCTGCTACCATCTTCGATTGGCTGAAGCCCCAAACAGAAGCCCAAAGGTGAAGGAGCCTAGTGGGAGAAGTCACCTGCCTAGCAGGCAGCTTTCTGAAGTGCAGTACCGGTGGCAAGAAGAGGGATGGAGAGAGGATGTGGGGCAACCAGAAATATCCAGTCCTTACCTCTGAGAGTAGTAGCTAGGTGGTGGTGGTGATGGTGATGGTGATGGTGATGACAGTGACGGTGATGGTGATGGTGATAGTGGTGATGGTGGTGATGGTGATGATGATGGTGATGGTGGTAGTAGTGATGGTGATGGTGGTGGTGATGGTGGTGCTGATGATGGTGGTGATGGTGATGGTGGTAATTGTGGTGATGGTGATGATGGTGGTGGTGATGGTGATGGTAGTGATGGTGGTGGTGGTGATGGTGATGGTGGTGGTGATGGTGGTGGTGGTGATGGTGGTGATGATAGTGGTGGTGGTGATGGTGATGGTGGTGGTGGTGGTGGTGCTGGTGATGGTGGTGGTGGTGATTGTAGTGATGGTGATGGTGATGGTGATGGTGGTGATTGTAGTGATGGTGGTGATGATGGTGGTGGTGGTGATTGTAGTGATGGTGGTGATGGTGGTGGTGGTGATGCTGGTGATGGTGATGGTGATGGTGATGGTGGTGGTGATGGTGGTGATTGTAGTGATGGTGATGGTGATGGTGGTGGTGGTGGTGATGGTGGTGATTGTAGTGATAGTGATGGTGATGGTGGTGATGGTGGTGATGATGGTGATGGTGGTGATTGTAGTGATGGTGATGGTGATGGTGGTGATTGTAGTGATGGTGATGGTGATGGTGGTGATTGTAGTGATGGTGATGGTGATGGTGGTGATTGTAGTGGTGGTGGTGGTGGTGATTGTAGTGATGGTGGTGATGATGGTGATGGTGATGATTGCAGTGGTGGTGATGATGATGATAGTGGTGATGGTGGTGGTGGCAGTGGTAGTGTTGGTAATGTTCCCACTGCTGGAAATAAAGCTGGCCATTTTCTAGAGAAAGCTCATGACATTTGCTATCTGCTTTCCAACCACCTGCAGAAATCATCCTCTGTGCTCCCCATTCCCATCCTGATGAGGCTGCCTTCATGATCAAGGTGCACTGGACCCCAGGAAGTCAGCACAGGCCAGGATGAGTCCTCAGCTCACTGCCCAGCCATGGCCCACACTTCTGTCACTGCATCCTGGTCTTTCCCCAAACTGTTGACCACAGGCCACACACCCTGTGACCAACTCTGTGCCCACTGCTAACCCATTGGCATTTGGGTTCCTTATGTGCCAAGGCCTTGATAAGCACTCACAGGAAGTTGTCTCTGGTGGAGCTGCCCTCCCAGACCCCCTCCTGCCCTCTCCTACCCCAGCCGTGGTTCACCTGAGGATGTTCACTTCCTCTTCTTGCCCCTCAGACCCTCTCGGACCTCCCTCCCCTCCCCTAGAGGCACAACCTGGCCTAAGGAGTAGCTTCTCTGCCCACAGCCAGGAGGTAGAGGGTGAGTCTCTCTTGACATATCTGGTGTCCCCGGGGTCGGGGGATGCTTGCCTGCTGCTGATGGAGCACCCACAACTGCCCAGCCTGCACACACGCACTCACTGTTCCCTGCCTCTGAGGAGTGCGGCCCCAGAGGGCTCTGTGTGAGGTCACTCGGTCACTCTTGAGACAGCGTCTCAGTCTGTCGCCCAGGCTAAAGGCAATCTCGGCTCACTGCAACCTCTGCCTCCCGGGTTCAAGTGATTCTCCTGCCTCAGCCTCCCAAGTAGCTAGAATTAGAGGCGCCCGCCACCGCGCCCCACTAAGTTTTGTATTTTTAGTAGAGATGGGGTTTCACCATGTTGGCCAGGCTGGTTTTGAACTCCTGACCTCAAGTGATCCACCTGCCTCGGCCTCCCAAAGTGCTGGGATTACAGGCATGAGTCACTGCACCAGGCCTACACCAGACTTAAGTACACACACACACACACACACACACAAAAATATACATGCAGGCTACACACTCCACAGACATACACACGTACACACACACATACACACACAAAAAAACATACACACACGTGTGAACTCTCATGCACAAACATATAAAATATGCACTCACACAACACAGAGCACATGTACATAACATACAAACACACACATATGCTGAACCACACACAGATACACACGCATGCACACAATGCTCATGCATATACACACAGCACACACAAATCACACATGCATGCACCATGCTCACAAGCACATACAAACAACACACGTACACATACTCTCAAACGCACAAACATCCATACACACAGACACAACCCCCGGCGTTTTTGCATCACGCTGAGGGTGGGGTGCCAGTGTCCATGCCAGAAACTGGGGGATAGGAGCCATCTCATCTAATTTATTCCTGATTTCAGGACCTGGGCCACAGGAGCAGCCTCACCATCAGACTGCGGCCCCCTGTGGTGGTCAGGGTTCCTGGGGGGTGGCGGGGCTTCTGCTGACAGAGAGAGGGACGTGCAGGCTTACTACCCATGACCAGCGTGTCTCCAGTCTGGGGAGACTGAGGAGGATTTTGAATCCTTGGGAGGACTCAAAATCAGCCCCGGAGTCCTGAGGGACATTTCCCTACAGCGTGGGGACGGTGGGGGGAGATGCCAGATAAACATTTGCAAGGCTTTTCCTGGGTCTCAGGAATTAAAAAGAGGTTTGTCATGGCAGTGAGGACTCTCCGTGACTCCTGGGTGTCTTTGCAGCCCCACTCGCCCCTGGCCTCCGGACTGTGTCCCCAACTGCTTCCTTCAAGCGGACGTCCAGCAAACGTCTCATGGGAGACACATCCCTCCTGCCTGAGCGCACAGCCGCTCCTGCCTCCCATCCCTGCACACGGCCATCCCCCTCTCGGGGGGTGACAGATCCATCCTTCCAGTTGCTCAGAGTGAGCCACATTCTCCTGGTTTCCAGGAACCCCACGGGCTCTGTCATCGGAGAGCATCCGGATTCTGCCCACTTCCCCGCCTCTCTGGCCTGGATGACTGCACGAGACTCCTACGGTTTCCCATCCACCCCCGCCGCCGTCTGTGCTCCACGCAGCAGTTGAGGGAGCTCCACGCTGCCGGGCTCACAGCCTCCGGCGACTGTCTGAGCAAGGGCTGCCAGCAGCCAGGTGGAACTGCGACCCCGGCTCCCAGCTGCCCTGTCAAAGCTCTCAGGCCGCCCATGTACTATGAGATGCACTTCTTCCCCTCCCTTTGCTCCCCGACTAGGGCATCTACTCTGCGTAGGTGCAGGCTTTGTCTGTTTTGCTCAATGGTGAGGAGGAGAACGAGGAGGTGGAGGAGGACGAGGAGGTGCAGGATGACGCAGTGCCCAGCCCCGGCGGCTCAGAGGAGGTGCTTAGTAAATATTTGTTGAGAGAATGAATGCATGGAATGCATTTCTATTTCCAGCCCCAGCCAGGCTCCTGGAAGCGCAGAAACAGGAGCAGACTTGCAAAGGAGGATAAAGCCCGGACGTGGAGGGCTCGAGGTGGGCTTGGACTGCTGGAGGTGCTAAGAAACAGTTTCCTTCCTCCTCAGATCTCTCCGCAGCCTGTGACAGGCCAGGTTTCCCAAGCAACTCATCTGGCTGGGTTAAGAGGGGCCAGAGAGGGTCTGGGGTGGGGGAGGGAAGGCTGAGGCCCCAGCTTGTCCCTGCAGCTGCTCGGGTTCCAAATGCCTGGAAGCCTGGACTCGTTCCCACCCAGCCGAGGCAGGCTGCAGAGAGCTGACTCCTTTAAGCTGGCCCCGGCGTTTACCCCAGAGCCACAGCTTCTGCCCCGGCTGCCCTGAGGCTGGCCTCATGGGGGTGGCGCCCCCCACCCCCGCAGCGTGCCCCGCCCCTCCACGCAAGCGAGCCCAGCCTGGCCCCCTCACAGTCACATGTCCCTCGCGGAGGCCACTCCACGAGTCACAAGGCAGAGTTTCCATTGGCGTCAAACGTACGTGGATGCTGGATCTGGGATGGACAGGAGCCAAGAGGGGAAAAGCCAGTTTTAGAAAATTCACATGCCTGGGGGTTACAGAGGGCAGACCCCCGAGGCACCACATCCCCATGGCAGGGGTGGGAATGGCCCTTGGGGCATAGACCCAGTACGTGTGCACACTCTCCCTCTCTGTCCATCACTCCCACACACACATGCACACGCACACGCAAGCACACACATGCACACATGCACACACACGCACACACACTCCCCGCTGACTGAGGAGGCCACACAAACCCAGGCCTAAGCCCCAGCCCACTGCCTGCAGGTTCAGACACTTGGGCACGTTTCTCAGCCATTTGGAGCCTCAGTTTTCCCATCTGAGGGAATGGGGACAGTGATATCTCAGAGACACTGTAGCCATCACCGGAGGGGACCACAGACCACTCTCGGCGGGGGTGCCAGGCATCGTGTTCGCATCTGGTGAGGAAGGGTCTAGCCTGACCCTTGGCTTCCTCCATCCCAGATGTCCCTTGAGGCATGTGGCCTGGGGTGGGGGATCCGGAGAGGAAAGGAGACAGGCCAGGATGCACGGTGACCCCAGGTGAGGCCCACAGACCCGGGTAGATGACCACCACTCCCACTGGAATCCTCAAGACTGGAGCAGCCAGGAAATTCTGTCCAAGCCGAGTCCCTGGGTTTGCGAGACCTTGCACTCCACCTCACAGGGGTCGTCTGGGTTTGTGGTCTCTGGCCAGGTGGGTGTGGGAGCCTCTGTCCTCCAGCTCAGTCTCACACTACACCAGAAAGGGAAGGGCAAGAGCACTCCCTCAACCCAGAAGACCCCCAGATCAAGAGACCACCCAGGCTACAATCAACTCCGATGGCGCTTTTAATCACCCCAGCAGGAATGGCGACTGTAAACAGACATTCAACGACTTCCAGAGACACACACACCTCCCGGGCAAAACTGTGTTTCCATAAACCTTGTAGAAATGACTCGGAGAGCTGGCTGAGTGAGGGCCGCCTGGACACCAGTGTGCAGGCACCGAGTCCTCAGCACCGCCACACTCAGCCGTCCTGCGAGCCCCAGACCCTGGAACACTCCAGCTGCCTCTCCACTTGTCTAGTGGGATGTTTCCTCCCAGTGCCCCCATTACCCCACACCCCCGGTAGCTCCCCCAACACTTGCTCTGCTGATGGGTGCATTCTCCCCAAGTCTGGCTGTGAAGCCATCCTGGTTGCCTCGGTTTCCCCTGCTGGCCAGGCAGTCACCAGCGCCTCAGTGGGAATGCCACTCTTTGCCACCACCCGGCCTGGGCTCAGTGGGATGCCTGCACCTCCCCACGTTGCACTCCTCCAGCCCATTCTCTGGACACTCGGATGAGAACAAGGCTACTGGTCAGGGGTGTGAGGGCAGGGATCAGCCTCAGAGACCATCCCATCTCTGTGAGTGTCCTGCAGCTGCCAAGCAAAGTGCCACCAAAGGGGCAGCTGAGACCAACAGAAAGGTATTCCCTCTTGGTTCTCAGGCCAGAAACCCGAGCTCAAGGCGTCAGGAGAGCCAGCCCTCCTCTGTCAGCTCCACAAGAGAATCCGTTTCTCGCTTTCCCAGCTTCTGGTGTTGCTGGCAACCATTGGCATTCTTGACTTGTGGCTGCACTGCTCCCATCCCTGCCCCCGGAGTCACGTGGCCTTCTCCCTGGCCTTGCTGTGTGTCCCCTCCTCTTATAAGACTCCAGTTACTGGGTTTAGGGTCCATACAAATCTAGTAGGACCTCACCTTGACTTAATCACATCTGCAAAGGTCCTTCTTCCAAATAAGGTCACGTTGCCCATTTCTGGGTAGATGTAAGTTTAGGGGGGCCGCTATGTAGCCCAGTGCCATCCTCCTACAGACCTCAGGATGGCTGAGGAATCCAGTCTCAGCTGAGATGCATCAGGCTGCTTAGGATCAGAGCCTGGACCACACTGAGCACTCACATTCTCTCCTGATATTCTTTCAAGCATGCCAGTAACGTCTGTTCCTGGAAACCCCAGGTCAATCCCCACCACCAGTGCTCCTGCTGCCTGGAGAAGAAAATGCTCCAGACCCCTCCTTCCCAGCCTGCTGGGTTCCCTCCAACCCAGGCCCAGCCCCCTTCTCCAGGGATTGATAAGACGCCATTTCCAGATATATTGTTAAGCGGCAAAAGCAGGCAGCAGTACGCAGTGACCCGTCTTGTGCGTAATAAAGTGTAAAAATATGCATATGTGCGTGTTTATTTATAGATGCAAAAGAAAAGCACTGGAAAGATAAATCAGAAACTAATAAAAATGGTGACTTGACGTGTGTGTGGAGTTAGAAATGGAAGCTGCCCTGAAGATAAGTTGTCTTTAGTGTTTGACCCAGAACTATGTGAACGTTTTCCATATTCAAAACAATTTGAATGTGTTAAAATTTAAGTTTAAAAGAGAACATCCTTAGAAAAGGAAAACAACAAAAGTGGAAATTTACATACAGTTTGTGACATAACTGAAACAAACACAAAATTATTTCAAGTGGCTTTAGAGTACAGAATTTAGACTTTTTTTTAAACTGGTGGCATGTATTTTAATGGCAAGGAAATCAAATGTATCGTTCAGTAGGTCTTAGTGTTAAGTTTGGCATCGTTATTTAAATTTTTTCCTCTTCTAGGATAAAGCCAGTAAGTAATTATATGAATGATGTAAGGAACCAAAATTATTATTACCGAAAGAGAAAAAATACACAAATACAAAATCCAGTAGGTTAAGAGTAGCATTGTCATCTTAAATTTGAATTGGAAATGTGAATGTAATCTCATAACTTATTTATTCATTCTGATTGACGATTGATTGATTGATTGAGACAGGGTCTTACTCTGCTGCACAGGCTGGAGTGCAGTGGCATGATCTTGGCTCCCTGCAGCCTTGACCTCCCGGGCTCAAGCCATCCTCCAGCCTCAGTGTCTTGAGTATTTGGGACCACAAGTATGCCAATACACCTGGCTAATTTTTGTGTTTTTTGTAGAGATGAGTTTCACCATGTTGCCCAGGTTGGTCTCAAAACTCCTGAGCTCCAGCAATCCACCTGCCTCAGCCTCCCAAAGTGCTGGGACTCCAGGCGTGAGCCACTGAGCCCAGCTAATCTCATGAAAGTACTGGGATTGGCCAGGTGCGGTGGCTCACACCTGCAATCCCAGCACTTTGGGAGGCTGAGGTGGGCGGATCACGAGGTCAGGAAATCAAGACCATCCCGGCTAACACAGTGAAACCCTGTCTCTACTAAAAATACAAAATCTTAGCCGGCCATGGTGGCGGGTGCCTATAGTCCCAGCTGCTCGGGAGGCTGAGGCAGGAGAATGGCATGAACCTGGGAGGCGGAGCTTGCAGTGAGCTGAGATCACGCCACTGCATTCCAGCCTGGGCAATGGAGTGAGACTCTGTCTCCAAAAAAAGAAAAAAAAGAAAAAAGAATTTCATCCGCACACCAGCAACAAAGCACTCACAGCAAAAGACCCGACACTGTTAATTTTTGATGGAAATAAGAGATATCATACAGTTGTCCTATTTTCTATGTTTGGAAATTGTCATCATAAACAGAGGTGTGCAAGGCTAGGGAATGAGGGGCCCTGTCCCCACCTGCGGCATCCCTGCTTTGTTTGCTGAAGCTCTCGTCCCCATCCCCCAGGTCTCACTCTGGTTATGGCCCCAGCCTTTTTCCTCCCCTCCTTCCTGCACCCTTGCCAGCTGCTTGGCGCCGGTGAAATGTGTTTATCAAAGCTCCTGGCCCAGGCTTGCTGACTCAGAGAACCTGATGAAGGAGGGGAGAGTTGAGGAAGAGAAGGTGCAGCCTGGGGTCACTGGGGCTGGAGGGCCTCAGAAGCCACTGGCAGGAGAAGTGCCCTGGCTCTGTGCTCTGGGAACGAAACTCAGCCTTCCTCTCGCTGCTTGCTTGTCCCTGGAGTCAGGGGCGTGTCTCCCACCACACGGAGGCAACGCCCACATGTGTCCCCAGTTGCACTGAGATACACCCAAGGGTGGTACCCGCAAGGTGCACACACCGGTGACAGGTGACGTGCCCAACAGCAGCTAAGCTGGTACACTGGTGTGTGGGGGAGGGGTAACACCAACTGGATTTTCCCCACTGACCTCGCCTGGACATCCCCCACACTGAGACTCAAATCGTCTCTCATTCCTGATGTCTCATCTGCTGACTGGCCGTGATGTCTAACTGGTCGTCCTTCTCTCTTTCCCAGTGTTTTCCTGCCAACAGGAATTGAGATCTAAAGGTCTGGTGAGGCTCAGCTTCACTGCTGAACCAGAAGAATGAGATTCAGGTGGGAGATCCCAGGCACTGGCTCCCCGGGCTGGCCTCCCCCAGGGCTGGCCTATCTCAGGGCCTGGTCAGGGCTGCAGCTGCCCCACCCCAAGGCTCACCCCTCCCTAGTGAGGGGATTTGGAGCCTGACCTTGTCTCACTGGTGGGAGGGGACAGAGCAACGTTTTAAAGCAACAGAGGACATGAGGCATCCATGCATTTCACTCGGATGTTTAGGAGATAACCTTGCAAGTGTGCAGATTCCCTTATGACAATATTCCCTGCAAGTGTCATAAATCTATAATAGCGAAGAGTCAAAAACAACCCACATTTCCTAAAGCAACCCTGAAATAAGGCCATGTCATGTCAGAAAGGAATATTTAATGACACAGAAAAATGCTCTGATACATTAAATTGGAAAGGGAAGCAGGTGTACAGGATGGCTCCAATTTGTATTACACTCTATTATGAAAAATAAGCTGGAAGAAAAGACACGAACGTTTGTCAGAACTGACATCTGCCGGACTGGAACGGAAGGCGATCGTCACCTGTGTTCCGTAGGACTTTCCTGTATGACTGCACGGCTAACAGCGCGTCTCCCTCACTCCGGCGCTGTTCTCGGAATCCTGTCTAGAGCTATACAGGTGACTCGTGGGTATTACGATTGACACTTTGCAAAAGAGGAAACTGAAATTTAAATATGAAGGCAGCCCAGCTGGGGAGCAGCTGAGTCAGGATCCCAGCCCGAGGCTCTGCAACAGCAGCGCCCCAGAGGCACCATGTGGCTTGGGGACCTCTGCACATGCAGCTTCCCCACCCTGAGGCTTCCAGTGGGATTTGTCTGGGTGTTGGGAGCTCTAACCATGAAATGGCTCCTCTATACCCAGCTCCATGGGTGAGGAGCGAGGTTTGTGCCCCTCGGGCCCTGACAGTGCCCAGGCCAGGGGGCCATTCCTGGGAGTGCCCGGCCAGCCCCGAGCCTCAGCAAGTCCAGCAGAGCCCATGGATGTTGGGGATCCCAGTCTTCCACTCTGCATGCCTGGGGTGAGCCTCGAGGTGGGGCAGCTGCAGCCCTGGCCGGGCCCTGAGAGGAGCCAGCCTGGGGAGCCAGTGCCTGGAATCTTCCACCTGAATCCCACTCTTCTGGTTAAGCACTGGCTTCTTCCGCTTAGGTCCCTGGAAATAAGAGACACTTTAGAGAGGGGATCACATTTTTGGTCTCCCTGAGCCCCGCTGGGTGCTTTCCATGCACTGTCTCCTTGTACCACCCACTTTACAGATAAGAGGACCTAGAGTGGGGACCTGGCCAGGGTTACATGGGGTGCAAGGACCAGGCAGGATCTGAACACAGGCCTGTCCGTGATGAAGTCCTGTGAGCACCAACCACAGTGGTGACCAGAAGGCAAAAGGAGTATTTGAAGCCAGGGATGTGCAGATGGAGGCCAGCACCCAGGAGAGTGGCCTGCATGCGGTGGCCTCAGCTTCCAGGAGGTCCTGTGGGCACAGGGCTCTGGGCTGACTCAGAGCTGGTAGATGCAGAGGTTAGCTCCCTCCCATGCATAGCCAGGCTCTGACCCAACCTTAGTCCCTGGGGACAAGAGGGGCTGGGAGAGCCCTGCCCACCCAGGGGGCAGGCAGTCACCCCAGCGTGGAGCCTGGTTCTGCCCTCGGGAGGTAGTTCCTTTGGTTGGACCAGAATGTCTGCCGCTGATCAGGAGAGGGCCAAGGGGTAGGGGGTGTCCCATGCGCACCCTGAGAATTGCACCAGGCTCAGCGAGCAACCTCAGCCCTTCTCGTGTAGAGCTGCAGCGGACAGTGCCAGCCCTCGCTGGCCCTCACACGTGCAGGATGCCCCCAACATGGCTCGAGGCCTTGCAAGACATTGGGAAACAGGACGTCTAAACCCTGTTGGCTTCTGCGGTGTCAGAGCCTCACCCCAACCAGAAGGCGCGTCGGGGACGTGGTCATGTGGTGTCTCCCTGAGCTAAGAGTGACTCGGGAGGCTGCAGTCAGACCAGGGTGACCTGGCCTGCCGAGTGACGGTGCTCAAAGAAGGACCCTTCAGCTCCTCCCTGCCAGGGGTGGGGCGGAGTCTTCCAGGAGTCCTCTCTGGGAGTAGGAGGCCTGGGGGGCAGGAGTGGGGTCCCAGCAGCCTCTCCCCCGGAGGCAAGGTGTGTATGGCTGTGGAAGCCCTGGTTCTGTTTCCTTGTCTCTGACATGGGGCTGATGGCGGTGCTTCCCCTCCTCGGTGAAGACGGAGGCACAGATGGGAAGAGGCGGCCAACAAGCCCTGGAGCACCGGAGCCTCCAGGAGCTGCAGGAGGCAGGAGGGATGCCCCTCAGCCTTCATGGAGAGTGTGCCTCCATCTTGGTCCTCTGGTGTCCAGAGCTGGGAGAGGAGACCTTTCTGTTGTTTTAAACCACTCATTCTGGGGCACTTTGCTAGGGAAGCCCAGGAAACTCAGCAAGCATGGAGCTGGAGCCACTTGAATGACTCACAAGCAAGGACAAGAGGAGTGGACCCCGGGCATTCGGGGAAAGCTTTGAAAGATCCGCCTGCTCCCTCGGCACGCAGAAGAGGTCTTAGGGAGGGGCTGAGGGGTGTCTGCTCTGTAGGAGCAAGCTCGTGAACCTGGGGCTGGAACGGCAAGGCCCCAGCAAAGCCAGAGCCTGGGATGGGGAGCTGAGGGTGCAATCAGCTTGTCCCTGGGAAGGTGATGTAGGGATTCCCAGCCTCGCAACACATCCATCATCTGGGAGTTACCTCAACTATATGGAAATGCAGATCTCCAGGCTCCCACAAGCGGCTTTGGGACAGAGCCCAAATGGGTGCATTTAGCAGCTCCCGCCTGACTCGGATGCAGGGCAGACCCATGGCACCTCCCAGTAGGTCAGCACGTATGGGGTCACTGGGCCAGCGCAATACTCCCCTTTT